ACTTTACCGTATGCTTTTCCACATCAAAATAGATTATGCTGCTGTTGTCATTTTGATATGTTTATATTTTTGTTTCGAAATTATGTGGAATATTTCATGCAGAGGCTCTCCATCGATCGCGTTCGTATATCTAAGCTGCGACGACACTACCACTCAGCCATCGAGTTTTGTGGGCGAACGGCAGCTTGCAGAGCGTATAGCATCAGAGTTTTAACCACTTGTTTGTCTCGACAAATCGGCAATCGGCACGTCCTTCCGGTTCCACGTCAGACCTTCTCGAGCGCCTGTTCCAGTTCACTGTCCAGTTACAACGGGCAAAAGGGCCAAAGTTGTTCTAGCGTGTGCGCTAGCCCTTGCTAGCGCGGTCGGTATATACTGCAAAAGGGCAAGCTCTGTGTCAAAGTCAAAAGCCTGGGCGTAGTACCTGGTGCCACTTTCGGCTTGTCGTCTCGTTGCTGTTGCTGCCGCCACCGTTGCTATTTCCGCTGCGAGTCCAGACAAGTAGCCTCAGGTGCCCAACACTTGGACGATTCAAAGCTCAACATGTCCATGCCTTTTGGAAGTGCACTTAATATAAACGGCTATCCTGCATTTAATGTTATACCTATAGAGACATGACTTATGGGCCTGGCATGGGCTAGAAGAAAAGCAGCAATTCTTACCAGCAACAATCATCAGTCATTGTGTCCAAAGAGTTGGCTCGCAGTATATATTTTTGCGTTTGGCAAAGTGAAAAACGCTATTCAAGCCGTAAAAATTCGTACGTCTACCAAATTGGCACGCGGCGCACTGGCGAAAATATACATTTATGGAGATTCTAGAGTTGTTACTCGTTCGCTAGAAAACTGTTTGCGTTTGCGTTTATTTGTCGGTATATATGTATACACATGGAGCTACGCTTGCGTATCAACTGGACCGCAGGAATAGGTAGGGTTAAATGGATGCATTGAAACTACGCCGGGCTTAGAATTTAGCTTAAACCACTATACTTATTCACGAACAATGCGAAAAACTTACCATAGAGATGAAATGTTTTTAGGCAGTTTTATACAAATACTGCTAGACTGACTCATCGCTAGGAAAACCAGCGACTGCCGTTCCGGAAGGACACCGTTTGAGGTCCCCTATAGCTTCGACAAGCATGAGCTTCCGTAAAATATACAAAAACTTGATCTTTTTGTGAGTGTGAAAAGAGCGTTTCAAAGATTCAGATAAAATGCATAAAGCTTAACACCGAGTGTTTTTATTAATCGTACTTGATAAATGAAGTGCGACATTTGACTGGTCAACGGGCAACTTCAACAAAGCCAATGTATACAATGAAAAAAGTAAACCTTCTCTAAATACCCTACTTCGTAATGACCAATAAGACGCAATTACATCTAGCAATGACGACGGATATAACTATTTGCAAGGCGTGACGGCAAGATAATTTGTTTATACCAAGAATATTTATTATACTGGTTAGCATGAATCATGTGTTTCCAGTTGTTGAAGTTCAATAGGACGGGTCCAGCGATAGCTTCTACGATTCTGTCACAGGATCGTCAATAGCTGGGTTTGTTTGGCTGAAGACGAGACCAGAGCAGCACAACCATATATCGCAGGCTAAAGATCTCTGTTTCTATGATATCATACCATTGCACTCACAACGCAGTGGCCTACGCGGCAGACTTAGAGGCTGAGTCAGCAGTAGCAACAGCAGGAACAATGTTAAAGAAAGCAGCGTCAGATTGGCTACTATCGTCTTATAGTAGCAACACTTGAATCCGACCTTGATTGCAACATGTCTTTTCTGGCTAGTCTGGTCAGAAAGCTATTTGTTATTGCATGCCACGGACAATAGGCTTATCGCCGTTCACGGTTACCATCCTTCGCAAGGACAATTCAAGCTATAGACAGCATAACAACTGATAGGCAGGACATTTTTGCTCATCATGCTACATTCAACCTACTCGATTTAGTGTGGCAGGCTCACTGGATTACTACTCGGTCGGCCGAAGAAGCTGCGTTACTAACGTTGACCTACACTGAGTAATTGCTACCGCTGCAACGTTAATTGACGCTGTGCTGGTTACAATACGATTCTATCTTTGTATCCGTAATTGTCCTCTGCACTGATTAATGGATTGTCTATTAATGTAATAGACTATTATTGATTAATGTTAGTGTTTGCGTTCACGACTATGCTTACTTGATTCATGTTCAGTTCTCGTAGGCGATACAAAACAACGTCGTCGATAGTATCGCGCGCCCCTTCCTTTCGCCACGGCCCTTTGCCACCGTATTCGCTTATCAAACCCGCTCATAACGATTTCATTATCGGTGCTCTCAAAATTCGTTGATTATTTGTCTGTTCATTTATGAAGTATGGACCTTATGTGTCACATACTGTCACGGTGTTCTGTTGCGTCGATGTATACGGTAGATTAAGATGGGTATCAGATCCAGATTCAAGTAAGGAGCGTCATTTCAAGAGACCTCTCTAGTAGCCAATAAATCAAGGAAAAAGCCCTGAATGGCCCACAGCATCAGTCCAGCACGAGCTAAGCCACGGACAGAAACGAACGTATTTTCATTCAAGAGTGCAACACTCAATGGTGATATTCTGTTATGTGACAATCATAAGTCAAGTGAATGCAAAGGGGACAGACGGGTTAAGCTAGTTGGTAAATAATCGCAGATAAACGAATGGGAATTTGTCTATGACCGCGTAAACAAGTCACTAGTGTGCATGGGCTGTTGCCCATGATTGGACAACCCAGACGACTATACATACAAAGCGGCTGGATATGAATGGAGTTGGAGCAAAGAAAAATCGTAGAATGATGCCGATATAGCGATTAAAGATGCTAAAGATTAAAAAGCTCGTCGCGCCTAAATTAAGATGGATAAAACTAATAAAAGAAAAGCAGTTATCACTCACTACTCAAGGGACATCTAAATCATTCTACTTTAGCGATTAGCGTAGGGTGTTCTCTGAGTGGGTTAATATTGAACTTCCGGTAGAGGAGAGGTCAATATTGAGGTCGAGTAAATCGTAGGCAGACGGAGCGCCGAGGGCTCAGTAAGGGCCGATGGGGAGCTCATGGGCGATAGTGGATCAAAGCAGATAATTTTACGCGGTGCGCTGTCAACTTGCAAGAACCAATGATCCTCAGTTAAGCTACCGCACAAACATTTAAGGCCCATAATTCCCATGAGATCCTGGCAGTCTAAGAATAAATATACGTATAAAAACTGTCATTTTACAAAAACAAAATCGTGGAATAGCACTAAAAATGGCAACAGAGTCACCTCAACAACCCGAAATTAAAAGCGCGGAAAGGAACAAAAGCGCAATGCAACGCCAGTGGAAGGGACTAGGCCACGTGAAGTAAAAGCGCTATTAAAATAGAAAGCTACGTAGGGCCTCTTGAGATTGTTAGAGAAAATCAGGCTAAGCAATAGAAAAACACCAAAGCTTCATGACGAGTGTTATATATCGGACACAAAATAAGAGTGCACGTAAAACAGGTTAAATCATACCGTGTTACTCATCAATCATGAAATGTCCATAGAGTGAATCTCGTAAAATAATAAAATCAGAGGACCATAGGGTTGTCCTGTACGAGGTAAACGCACTACAAAGGTCAAAAGGCCGTTGAGGTACCGATCCTGCTTGACATCACGGGAACTCACTGAATTACATTAGTAAGGCTAAAGGACAAAAGCAGTGCAAGGATTTATGATCGACTAATACCTTGTAGTAGCATGCCGGTAGAGCAAAGATAAGGAGTATTAATGAATCGGAATTGGACTCCGAAGTCTGACAAGGACTCTGCAGCACCGACGAGGCTGTCGGGATGAGAACCGTGAATTAGTCACATAAGAAGGCAAAAAAAGGAGAAACCAACATTAAATAGGACAAAGTAAAAGTTTGCTGTGTACACGAACAGGATATACGAGCGCTAAGCATGTACTTCTAAAGTAATCCACAAATATTGGAAGGTCTAGATAACATGATAAAAGTTATACGTAAGAGTATTGGAAATGGGACGGAAATGAGATATCGGAATTGATTGGCGTCGGTATAAGGTTGCCATTTATTGGCTGTGTGTAGTAGGTATAGGAACGTGAAAGACACGAAGAAGGAGGATTCACTATTTATTTAGACGAGGAGTTTTAGCTAATCAGCAGTCGGAGGACAGGAAACATACATAAGATGTGGCCTTGATCGCGCCTTGTAGTTACGAAATAAGTTTAGCTTTCTCTAAATGATATGTTCGCTTGTTGCTGCGTTGTATTTGTTTGTTTTAAATATATGTATCAAGTAGGTCATGTAAACCGATTCTGATCTCCCTATGCCTACGGTACGGGCGCTTTAAGATACCGACTTTCGCTTCAATAAAATGTCAAAGCTTTTAATCAACGCGAAGCCGAAAACTGATGCAGCTAAAGTATTTCCCGCCCGGTGGCACGACTGCCAAATCTCGTTATTTATTATGGTTATCGCAGTGACTTTCCGTGCATAGTAGAGCGCCATGACTGATCCCCCAGCCAGGGTTCGAACGAAATCGGCATATTTAAACTCAAGAAAATATTAAAAGGGGGGCAGAGTAGAAATGTTTACAGGAACAGCGTCAATATTTGTAGTACAAACGCAGGTCTTGATTATTTAGTCTCAAGAATAATTTGTCTTCTGGTTTGCCTTTTCTCTCGATTTTAACTACAAAGGCCTAGGAGAAAGAAACCCGTATTCATATCTTTCAGAGCCAACAGAGAAATAGCGAGATAAGAGTCATACTAAATGAGGCGTTGCTTAATAAGGCAAATTAGTACTTCTAAAAGGGACGCATTTCACCATGCATCTGAAAAATAGTTACACCTATATACCAATAAATATATATTATATATAAATAATTGACTTGTATGCTTGATCAGAAATTCACCTAACTTAAAATGTGTTTTTTGACTAAAAGTTTATCTTTGTTTTCTAACAACCAATTACTATGCTTTAGTTGCTTCCGTTTTCAGAATTACCTGTGGATTTAAAGGTATCCTTAGGTCGTGGATCGATACTAGGAGATTGGGATTAAAAGTGCAACGAATCAGGTAGAAAAAGAACGGTAGGATAGTTGTCGAACGTATTTGTGGTCCCAGTTTATTATCGCGTGTAGGACGGTCAGCTTGCTTCTTGGCTGCTAGGCGGGAGGCTCAGCCCGCCGACGCAGGCTGTACTTAATCGTCGTGCTCTCCCCATGAGCTCAAGCGACAAATGGAATTGCTCAAGATGTAAGTTAGGCCCAATTACATATAAATAATTGTATTTTATGCTAATATCCCGATATCAACATAAAATCTAATTTTTATAACAATATATTAATAGGACCCGTACTTTATATTCCAGTTGCGTAACTATATTCCTGTAACCTAACATTGAGACAGCGGATTTTTCGACGAAACAACTTTGTAAACATTTTTTAGTCTCAAAATTAAATGCAATTGACAGTTAAATAACTTTTTTAATACACTTTTCGGGTACGTCGATGATTACCGGCAAATAAGTTTACGTCGTGTTCATTATTCGCAACCTCTTTTTCTTCACAGGCACGTACGAAAATTGGCCACGCGCTCTGAGGTGCACCCTTTGCGGGGCGGGAAGAGCACATCCGCCGGCGCCCCTCATCGAGGAGACCGAGCCAAGGGCGGTGACGCCCCCGCCAGCTTCGGCGATAACACAACAACATCACCAGAAGCAGTCGGTAACTTACAACGGTAGCAATAACGCTACAGCAGGTTGGTAGCAACAAAAGGCAGATTTAATACAAAAAAAAAATTCGAGAATCTTTGAATTTCACAACTAGGAAGAAGTTGTCTCCACCTGTATACCTATGTTCTTTGCACAGAATTATAAGATGGATAATTGCTATTCATTAACAAAAATTATAAAAAAAAAATAATAATAACTTACCATAGGCGTCCAGAGGTACAAAGGATTTCGTTATAACAAAAATAGTTCATGGTTGTACAGGTTCGCCTTCAAGTAATCAGAATTCATCTCCTGATACTCCAATTCCTTTGAGCTCGCTCGGTTCCCTGTCTCTTTCATCTCCTGGCCCATTGGGTAAATGGCCCTGTCCAAAGTGTACGTACCTCAATTGGCCAAAGAGCGCACGATGCGTCCAATGCCGAGGCTCGCGTCCTGGTGCTGCTTTAACGAAAAGTGGCCCGCCGGGATCCCCTGCAACCTCATCGCTACCTCGCAGTCCGTCGCCTCCAACGAGAGGGTCTCCTGAAGCTTCCACCAGCAACACGATAACAGGTGCTACCGGTCTCATGCATCAACAACAACAGCAGCCACCTCAACATAACACGTTGACAACAATAACAAGTAACGCTACTGCGATTACGACAACAGGAACAATTTCAACCTCGACATTGTCTTCCCCAACAAACGCATCGAACGATTGTAAGCGTTAAGTAAGGAAAAATACATTAAATTGAGCAGGTATATATATATATATATATATATATATATATATATGTACTCGCCGTGATCAAGGTAGATTGCGTTGTGGAATCAAATAGTATCTCAGATACACTAAAGTGATATCAATAGTGAATTCAAGTTCTTCCAGTGGCATTTTGCGAAGAAAAACTCGGAAAGTTCTCGTGACACAGCACAAAACTGTAAACTTAAAGTTTTTGTGTTACATTAATACAACTATTGCCACTATTCCCGCAGCATATTCAGCATAATTTTACTGACACATAATGCGTTAATTCGTTTCATTCCCGTTTTGATAGTGATTGGCGCTGGAGGTGATCCAGGGGGAGGTTCAGGGGGGAGTGGCCAGAAATGGACGTGTCTTATGTGTACGTATGCGAATTGGCCTAAGAGTCAACGCTGCGTTATGTGTTACACGTTTCGGAACGCGAACAACAACAACAATACGAATGGAATCACCACACCTGGATCACCGCAATTCGGCTCGTCGGCACGTGCTTCTACGCCGCCAGTCATTATCGAAACATGTAAGCAATCCGAGTCTACTATTTTTCGGATGAAGTGACTACACAGTACCATCTAACATCACATACGGCTAGAAGACTTTGAGAACTTCATATTTTACATGACTTCTGTGAATATGTAGTGTTATTACAAAAAAAAAAAACTGTGTAATCATTATTTCACTAATGAGTTGATTGACTATTGTTTCCCATTTTTCCTGAAATCGATGATGCTATGCCTTTCAGCAGCTGATAGTGGCGAAGCTGGGGGATCGTGCGAGAACGAAGAGGCAGAACTCAATAATTACCTCTCGACGATGCGATCTTCAAATCGTCAACAACAACTAGGCAAAAACAATTCAATATCATCAGCTGATCGCCTCTGGCTCAATGCGTGCCTTGGCATTCTTGAGGAAAATTTTGATCCTGTTCTGCGTTACGTTGAATCGGGAAAAGATATCTTCCGTACGTTAACAAATGTTGACGTCCAACATCTACGCGCGTTACTCCTGCATCATCAACAGCCTGGTAAGTGTACTGGGTTCACAACAAAAGGCCCACTCAACTTTGTATTTCTTGGTACGTAAATAGACTTCTCATTACATTTTAAATGCTGTGAATGCGCCGTACACGACGCAAATACATGCCAAATGACAGGATTAACAGTAATTGATTTTTAATACGACTCAAGCGATTGCGATATATGAATTTTCGATCTGACATGTACATTCGGCCGTTATTTAACCAACTTACTGTAAAAATAAGGTAATTAGTTGATATTCCATCATAACACAATTTAACATACGCAGAAATAACAGGGAGGATTTTGTGGGTGAAATGTTTCAAAATAAGCACCAACAAGTATTATATATGATGGACTCTTTACCCTCACATGGATGGGTGATCTTAAGAACCGTAAACAGCGACAGCAAACGGTAACATACGCAACACGTTCTGAGAAAGTAATCATACTGCACTCATTGGTACGACTTAAACCAGATGTGTGCATCCCTTTGCGTTCAGACTAAATGAGAAAATGTTCGCTAAATCTAGTTTGTTCTCTAATTACCTTACAGGTTCACTTTACATTGAGCCGGGGCTATCTTTGATTTATCTCTGCGTTAAACTACAGCGAGAAGACATGCTTGCGCATTTGCTAACGGCATTAGACAACACGGGTGCTGTGGTACCGAAGCGGGTCCCATCAGAAGTCTGCCAGGAGACCGCAGCCGATATTAGGAGACATGTCGCAGCATCATTCAAACAGCGCAAGGGCACGGATTTTGCGTGTTACTTCGTTACGGACAACGTGACGTTCGCATTGCCCTCTGAAATCGAGCATCTGCATCCCTCCGTCCAAAAAATCCTATTCGATGAGTTACTCGATCGTGACGTGCAAAAGGAACTCGAAGAGGAATCGCCGATCATCAACTGGAGTATGGAATGCACCCAGCGGTTAGGTTCAAGACTTTACGCGTTATGGAATCGTTCGGCTGGTGATTGCCTATTGGATTCGGTGCTGCAGGCGACTTGGGGTGTGTTTGATCGGGACAATACCTTACGGCGTATCTTAGCCGATAGCCTATGCGATGCCGCTGCGTCACTTTATCCTCGGTGGAAAGAGGCCGAGGCATGGCAGGCCAATCTAAATCATTATACACTGGCCGAAGCCCAGTGGCAAGAAGACTGGGCGGTTCTTGTTTCCTTGGCATCGCAACCCGGTGCTGCCCTTGAGCAGCTTCATATCTTTACATTGGCCCATGTGTTCCGTCGGCCAATCATCGTCTACGGGGTGAAATGTATCAAAAGCTTTCGCGGTGAAGATCTCGGACTGGCCCGCTTCGAGGGCATTTATTTGCCGTTACTATGGGAGTGTCCGTCCTTTTGCTGGAAGAGTCCCATAGCTTTGGGCTATACCAGGGGTCATTTCTCGGCGCTGGTGCCTATCGAGCCGCCGGATATGGACGTGATTGCACGAGGTGGGGCTCATTCAACGTTACACCGTCAAGACGATATCATCTACTTGCCACTGATGAGTGCGGACAGAAAACTCCTGCCTATACATTTTCTTACGGAAATAGAGGTGTGTTTTAGTTTACGTATCTATATGGACGGCTTATATTTATATAGACCCGTATATATAGACAGTTGTGTGCATATTTAATTTCGGCGTCGCGGTTTTCTATATTCTTAGTTGACTTATGTAGTTACACTGAATTAGTTCATACATACGGCTTCTACTATATATATATATATATATATATATATTATTATTACAGATGGGCCAGGAAGAAGAACTCATTCGCGAGTGGCTGGATTTTCGAGTGACGGAAAGTGGACTCCTGGTGGCGCTGCAGAGATTGCAACCTCCAATGCGACGGCCCTCGCTCGTCATGCAAATGCTAGATGAGTGGCTCCATTTATATCGTACCCTCTCGGTCGGGAAAAATGCAACGAACGCCCGACTCAATCAACTGCTGAGTATGGCTGCCGAAAGAAATGAACGCCACAATCTGAGTTGTCCAGGGGGACAAGGTGGTCTTGGGGGCGCTACGCAACAGCAGCAGAACCCACAACGGCAGAAGCAAAGAATTTCTGAAGACGAACAAGTTAGCGAATCCGAGTAAATGTGTAGGTCTTATATTGACTGCGTACGGTTTTTTCAGGTAACTTCTGGATTCTGTTTTGGATATGGTGTCATTAGTTCTTTCATTATAAGGATATTATACATCAGGGAGCATAACGATATCACTAATACGTCGATTTAAATTCAAGGTTTGCCCCTTACAGCGTGCGGTGTGGCCACTGCAGTGTTTAACCGTCTCTTTTATTTATTTGCAGGCAATCAACAAAACGAATCGGAGTGAACCGTTGTGCATAGAGAGATCTTGTTGAACTGCAACTAGTATGATGTAAATGAGAATAATAGAGTCGTCTTCTGGGCACGCGAGGCTTTACGTGAGGCCACTTAAAACTCGGCAAATTTCAAGACAATACATCAGTTGGTCTTCTTCTGATCCCAATGGCGCCTTCACTAGATACAAGCAACTGCTTGACCAGCACAAAATTCATATGGCTGATAACGATGGAAGCAAATCAAATAACTGACAACTTGTCATCAACTAACGTCTGCTCGTTTCAACCAGGGTGCATCTGCAATTCATAGTCGACACTGCACTGGCGAGCTACCCAAGCATGCGAACGTGGTGTGAATGTTCTGCAAGTCAAAACGATCCTCCAGAACGCCTCATGTACGCCTTTGCCTATAATCAAGCGTAATCTATTTCGACCAGTGCTAAACTAGATCAGGCTAGGAAACAACCTAACTTTATCAATAGGCCAAGATAATAGTCTCCAAAATCGCTACTGTTCGGTGAATCGAAATCTATATGATTTATGGCGCATTTGATATGAAACATCATTGTAGCCTGTCATTGGTAGCCTCGCCGATTTCGATTCTCCAATGATAAATCGCCGTGTTTGACTTTAATACCTCAATGACGTGCCTCCCGAGCCGGGACGATTTTCGTCTCCAACAATCAGATACAAGCGGGTACTCTTAATAATTTTGCTCTTTCACTTCATCGACATCTATCGATATCGTAAAGCGTGCATCTATTTCTGCGTACACGCGCATTGGAATCAAATCATGATGGTGTCGCAATAGCGGACGCAGTCAGAGAACGGGCACGTACGAGTTGTTTTGCTTCCAATAGAATATATAGTTTCCAGTTAAATTGACACGCTGTGCCAGTCTAACGGCTCACCAGAAAGAAAGATCGGTGGAAGACGCCAGAACCGAAGATTCGAAAAACTGAAGGGGAAGCAGCAGGGAAACGGATCGTAATGATTGAAAACAGCACAGTCAGAGACGCCTCTGTCGCTTGAATCGACAACAATTGGAAGAGTACGCTCAGCACCGCCGCATCTAGAAGTTTCTAGTGGTAAAACAACAGAGTTAAAGGATCTCTATAATGGTAACAATATATACACGGTGACACTGAATAAATTCTAGTAATGAACAGCTGCGAGTGGACGATAAAAGTTAAGCATGGCAATGACACGGTGAATTTTTTGCGCCAACTCCTAAGCCGGTTTAGAGTAAGCTCTAGCTCATGTATTCTAACTAACAAATTCCAGTAAGGAGTATCCGCTTTCCCTATACTTAAACGATAATAATAATATAATGATAATACAATGGTAATTATAATAATTATAGAACATTTTCAGGCGTCACTTGTATGGACAGTGTAGCATTATTTTGTGCGTAATCGGTACATAATATAATTAGTAAATTGGATGTGTTTCATTGCTGCTTCATCGAGTGCATACAATATATTTGCATCGCGCCACCAGGGGACCGAAGGCAGGAGGCCACACACGAGCCGTGGTCATGAGACAGAAAGAAGAACCAGGCCAATAGTGAACTGGCTCGCGCGCTTCTGAAGGTTTACGTGCAAGCAGTCCACAAAAACAGCGCAGGCAGTAGATGTGATAAATGACGACGGCAACAGAAGTAATATTATAGAGTAATGTTTATTATTATTACCGCGATAACTATTACTACCGCTACGACGTTATGAGCTACGGATGTCACAGTGACTGAGCTGTATGTTGACGTTGATTTGTATCGTTCACTACTCAAAGCAAACACTACGAAGACAGACGATAATATTTAGCCGTGCATACCTATATATACTATATTATACGTATGTACCCCCATCGACAATATAATCGTATAAAGGGAACGAGAAAAGCCAGCGCGAGAAGGCTGTATTGAAATGAAAAAAAATAGTAAAATGGAAAACATCGAATGTCGATGAAATTTTCTAGTGTGTAACGCGTTAAAATGATTTTGTATATAACATATATATATATATATATATATATATATATATATATATATATATATATATAGATAGATAGATAGATAGATAGACTGAAAGAGAACAGAAAGGAAGAGACAAATCGTTATCAACGGAGATGGGGCGCGAGAATAGTATACTTAGCATACACAAATATTATAATATAATTATGATAAGAATGTTGACACAGTAAAATGTAGTTATTAATATATTATCAAAAAAGATAATCTGATTAAAAGAAACCGGTCACAGTGTAGTTAGAGCATATTATGGAACACGTATTTGCGGGAACAGGATATACAGATGCGACCCAGACGATATAGCATCATGTCTTACGAATAAACCTAGAAACATACATCAAAAACAAAGGTACCGATTTGGACTTTTAGATGACACTGACTTCCGGCTAGAAAAACAGGAGGACAAATAGAAATTGTCGATGCAATTAATATGTTAGCTGCAGACTCACGAGGGGTCAAGATTAAGCTACGAAACCAGTGCGAAAACCAACTGAGCTGCGATAGTTATCTAGCGACATGCTTTCAATTTATTGAGACGATAGCTAGGGATGGTAGCTACTACCATTACTAATAACATATGTTTGTTTGTAAATTACACACATTTCGTGAGTTTATATGAAACGGTGTACAGGAACCATACGAATTCTAATGACAGTAAGTTCCCAGCTGAACAGGATCGAAAAGCTTGTGAATATGATCGATGCCATGATCGGCGTGTATTGTGCAGTCGAACTGGAGCACTGATGAGGGTACTAATGAGGCAATACTGCAATGGTTTGAATACTGATATAATAAATATTGCGGTTAGTTATCTATTTAATAAACGTATGGCAGCAGGTCATGGAAAAAAAGAGTAGTGAAATCTTGATACCTCGAGAACAGGCAGCGAGAATGTCAGCTCATTTCTAAATTGCAAACAACAAAATGCAGAATAAAAACGGAGAGATGACAGAAATACAGATGTTGCACTTTGAGATCGTCGTTTGATGATGGTTGTTGTTGAGGGTCTCGCAACGTTCGGTGCTCAGCTTTCGTAGTTGGTTCAAAGTGCAAATGTAGCTTGTGAAAAAATTAGACACTTAAGAGAACAAAATAATCTACATTAAGCAAACGGCGAACTTCTCTCCTGGTCAGTTGTTTTTCCAATTGTCTCAAACCAAAAGTAAAGTAATCTATATGAGAACGTTGATTATGATGTATCCTCTTTTCACTCGGGCCTATTTAGTAGTCCTTTTAAAATTCCGAGTTATTAGGCAACAGATTTTCACGGATGTCACTAATTAGCTCGTAGATTTTTCTCGTTCGAAAACAATTTCTCAGTCGTACAAACGACCACGTTGTTACGGACCGATTGCTTTCGTATAAGTATGGAGCTTTGGCCTAACGGACAGACGTAACGTCCGTACGAACTTCTGTCACTTACTTAGTCATTACGATCGAGAAGAAGATCATTTATTCTTCTGAACGATGCAAGATACAACTTTCGAGATCGCATTATAGAAGATAACTTTAATTAAGTATTGCTGGTTTTATGTCAAGGCTCGTTGGTAGCACTTAGCGATAAACAGTACTATTCAATTTGTATACTGCAGCAAAGGTAAAAGCCGTGGTTACAAACAGGACTATATAAGTGGACTTCAGAGTTAAATATTCGATTCGCGGGCAGGTAGAGTGCAATGTCAACGTTCACTGTGGTCCGACCCAATGATGTCAAAGTTTCAACATATGATTCGAGCATGCACAGTTAGCTACATTGAAAATTGTTCTTGTGAATAAGCCATAATATGTATGGATTATTGAACTGCAGATCCCTCGCGTGACCGGGCGCTTCGTCCAGGGGTATTGCCCCTTCCCCTTATCGTCTCACTTTTTTTAAAAAAGAAAAAGCTGTAGTTGCCATACTTCCCTTGCAAACAACGTGACACATGAGGACCTCTAAGGAAAATGTCATAAAGAAGAACCTTTCACTTAGTACGGGAACAGGGAGCCTACTACAAGAGAAAGGAGTTGTTCCACCTAGGCAATCTTTTGTGTACCTTAGGCTATGTATCGCTGTTGCAATTGGCCATTTCTCATGACGTAATTTATATAATAGTAGTACCAAATTAATTTGTTTGTTCATAATTTTCAAAATTCAAAAAAACAAAAAAAAAAAAGAGAGTATTCTCTATGGAACAGGCGGAAACTGGTATATACTTTACTTAGCATATACCGGTTATTGAGCTCTCCTTGGTGCACTGACCATATTCTAATAGGCCAAAAACAGAGTTGAAACAACTGGTAACATCTAGCAGATGTTTGGTTCAGTCTTGTTTAACGAACTATAACAAAGGTACCTTATTAATTTATACAACACTTTTGCTATCTTTGTGCACGTCGCTAATAGAAATGGTTATTATTGAAGTCGAGTTCTGCGCTTATAAATCGATTTCTATCAAAAATTGACCCCATCAATTAAATTTGCAGGTTATGCCGTGGGGCTGTAAATTATCTCGTTTTTTTCTAGAGATTTTGCAACAAAACAATAATATGGGTAGATGGTAGGAGACGTCAGGGCTCTTGTAGATCGACGACAAAGATCATTGTTTAGAAATTAGGCAAAATATACGCAATGTGCCGATACAGGAACACAATACGCGTTTCAAATACAAAGAAAAATTAAATAATGATGATTATCGGCTATGTAGGTTTGAGTTAGAGTGTGTGGGATGCGCCGGTTCATGACGAAAACCCGCGATCCACTATGCTATGCATTTATAAAATAAGCATATCTAAATTCAAATTAGAATAGAGAGGTATAAATCCACAACTATCCACAGAGAATGACCGACGCTGAGTCACGGGAATTTACACGCATGCACGACGCTAATAGTTCAAAAAAAAAAAAAAAAAAAAATTTTCATTAATCTTCGAAGGTCAACCTGAAACTGTTGCTAAAGTAACAGAGTAGAATATCACGATGGTGAACTATGACTAGAGGCATATTGTTCTTCCTCTCCCTTTCTTCGCATCATTTTCATCATAGTTCTTCATATATATGGCGTTTCTAACGCTAAACAACGTATACGTTACGTTTGGTAGAAGCGTCTGACGGTCATGCTACTTATCAAAATGACGATTCAACTCGTGGTATAAATCACTGGCTATTTATTTGCAAAATGTTTCTTGTCTAGTCCAGAAGTAACTATCTATCTAGAAGTAACCGTACGTTAAGCGATCCCAGCGAGCGCTAACCCGTTCAAATAGTGGCAAACATCCTGCCCTGCACATATGCACACATATATACATGTATATAGATATTTATCGATGTTTCGTTGTTAGCGTTCGTTCGTCATAGAACACTGGCATACAACTAAGCAAAGAGACATAATATTGCCACCTATAAAGAATGGCTATACACGGATAATACAGAAGAGCGAAACGATACATTGGGATTATTTCAAAAGTGGTAACTGTGTGCAAATAAAATTTATAGCACTATGGAAAAAAAAATAGGCGGCAGAGCAAACTAGCTAAGGCAACCTAAAGAGGATACAACCAAGTATATATATATATGATGTTATGTGCCTAGTTGTAGAACTATTACGAGGAGATTTATGACTGCCAATACTACTACGACACGCAGGACTGTGACTGATGATCTGATCTGCCGACAGAGAACGACAAAATATATTGCGTAGACGAGAAACGAAGACGTTCCTGCAGTGCCGTTTTGTCCAAGATTAAATTATTTCGGGTCCCTATTAGCGGCACCCTAGTACCGGTGCCGCTGCACTGTGTGTATATTCGTAGATGAAAATAGACAACATTGATAATAATTACGTTGAATTTCAGTGGCGTTTTTCTGTAAATGACTAAACAGCGATGAAAGATAAAATCATCTGCACCTGCTAGCTTCCTTCATATTCATTTGTTTATGCCCTATATCTATTTTGGACCGGTCTCCGGATCTCAGCGTTACTATTAATAATGCAAAGATTATTGAACAGGAAAAAACATATAGGAAAAGTCAGAAATTGTTGTTAACACTAATGGCTGCTTATATGATTGCCATGCCATTTTAAAAGTCTTCTGGTGGGACCCTAAATAGATGATACATACGCCACCCCAGCCAGGCTCCTAACGGAGACAAGTCCTTGAGAGGAGGAAATATCATTCGAGGGGCTTGAAAAAACCCGTATTTCCATGACTGTGAAGGCATCCAAAAAAACGCGTCTCGCTTTTGCCTGACTAAACACTTGATATTTATTGACTCGTTATAACACAACTAGCAGTAGGGTTCTTCTCGGGCTCAATAACTTGTTTCTTTTTACGCAAGACGTGTGCTGACGCATAAGGTAACCCGTGGTTGAGGCCGCTATAGGTAAGTGTCGAGTAGGCGTAGTGTTCGAAGGGTCTGGAACGCACTTGGTAAGTGGTTAAACTGTGTGGAAAATATATCACTTTTATAATACCAAAAAC